CCCACTGAGCTGGAGATATCTCCTTTAAAAAAAGACTTTTCTTGAAAAAACATCCTTCTATTTCCACCTATTTTGTTTCAGCCTTTTGTTACCGATGATTTCTTGGAGTAGGTTCAGATTGGATATTAGGAAAAAATTCTTCCTTGTGAGAGTGGTGAGGGCCTGGCACAGATTCCCAGAGAAGCTGTGGCTGCCCCTGGATCCCTGGAGTGTCCAAGGCCAGGCTGGACAGGGCTTGGAGCAACCTGGGATAGTGGAAGGAGTCCCTGCCCACGGCAGGGGAACAGAATTACAAGATAAATTTAAGGTCCCTTCCAACCCAAACCATTCCATGATTCAATGAATTTATTTTTAGGATTAGTGCATGGCCAGATGCTCTTCTCTCTTCCAGCTGGAGAAAAAATCACAACAAGGGCACGGGCTGGCAGAGCTGAGAGACAAAGCTGGCACCAAAACAGCTACGGGGTGCTAAAGTGCGCCAGGAATGTGATCGTGACTAAAATACCCCCACCCCTAATCCCAGCCCGGGGGTCTGAACTGACCTCGGCCTCTGCTCCGACCACGCCCCCTCCTCCAGCTCCTCTTTTCCCCGCTCCTCCCACCTCCCTCACCTGCAGTTGTTAAACCACCTTGGCAGGGCCAAACAAGCTCCAGGTGACTCCATCTCCTCCCCAAGCCCTGCATTAACCCCTTCGGGACCCAGAAATGCAGCACAGAGGGGAGAGAAACGCTGCGAGCTGCGGTTCCTCATCCCTGATGGGCTCAGCTGCAGTGGGAATCCTCCTTTGGCTGCTTGGCTTCAGAGCTGGTCACTCACAACCCTTTAAATTCAGGGAAGATGGAGCAGAGCAGCAGCTCCTGAAGTTTCATCCCTGAACTAATTATCTAACGAGACCTAAACGAGCAGCAGTAATTAGTGAGAGGAGTTATTTTATCACCAGCCCTGCAAGACTCAGCACACAGCTTCCAACTTAAAACCACCACGTATCCGCCCAACCGCCAGACAGCTCCTTCAGATAAATCAGTCATCCTGTCCTCAGCTTGGATTTGGCAATAAAAAAACCCCCAAACATCCCTGGCATTGCTGCTCCCAAACTTGTTTGCTCTCCGCTCCTGTGTGCCTGTGAAACGCTGGTGCTTTGAGTGCTGTGTTCTTGTCAAAGGGCGGAGCAAGGCAGAGCTGAAATGTGCCGAGAGCTTTGTGTTTGCTGGAAGGGTGCCCGGCGTCCACGAGTGCAGATGCTGGCGGGAGATTAAGTCTAGAAAGTCTTTCTTCAAATTCAGAGAGCTGCTGGCCACAGTAAAATCGGATCTTTAATTATTTAACCTTTATATCTCAACTGCTGCTGAACTGGGTTTTTTAAAGGAGATAGGATTACACCCACAGGAGAAGAATTGAAAACCTGTTGCCAGAGTTTTTCCATCGTTTTATTAAAAACTTCCAAAGGTCTAAAATGAAAATGTACACCAACTACAAGGGAACCAATTTGTACACTCACAGTTAAAGTGCTAAAAATTAAACGTTACAAAACCGACACTGGACTACTGTAAACAAGTCTACCGAGAGCTGAGTGCAAGTGGGGTCAGCCCACACATTCCACGACGTAGAGGATTCATGGGAGCCCCTTCCCCTGTCCTGAGGAGCTGGGCGTTGTCACAGCACGGACACCGCAGTGCCGAGGGAAGAAGGAAGGGCTGGGACAGAGGCTTTACATGCACCGAGTTCCCCATGCACAGGCAAAACCTGGGAAAACGCCGCGCCTCGGGGGGAAAATCAATCCTGATCCCGTTAGAAAAGAAGCACAAAGGGGCTTGGGGTAAAGCTTCACATTCAAATGGACATTCTGCTGCTCAAGGTGGGGCTGGGGATGTCTCCTGCTTTCACCGCACAGAGCTGCCAGCTCCCCGCTGCTCTTTGGGATCCTCAGTGCCCCAGAGCTGGGCTGGACAATCAGCTCCTCCGGAGAAGGGTGGGCACTGCTCTAAGGCAGGCCTGGCTCTTCTCCTTGTGCCCTTCCTGAGGGGTTTTCTCCCTTCCATCCTTGCTGGAGCAGCTCGGGAGCAGTGCTGGATTTGGCCATCACTGGATTTCAACTGGAGCTTCCCGTGCTCACCACTGACCCCCCTAGAGCTGCTGGCTTAAAGCTTCCAGCACAAAATCTGGGTGTAAGGTGGAAGAAGAGGGAGAACACAAACACACTGACACCCAAGTGTGGCTGTTTGCTGCTCCTGGGTTACGATTTAAAAAAGAGGAGCAGCCTCTTCCATGCAACGCGAGCGCAGCTCCAATCCGGGATATTTCACGGGAGCGATGCAGGGATTAAAAAAGAGGGAACACCACAAACTCGGGGGGATCTGCTCTCAGCACAGGCAGGTTGGTAAAACAGGAGCTGGAGATCCCCGGGAACACTGGGAATGAGGAGTTGTGTGTTTTGCAGGAAGCTTTGACGGAGCAATTGCACAGGGCAGAGTTCCGGGGCTGCAGCGGGAGCGGGAGGGACAGGGATGAAGTTCGGGATGAGCTGGAGAACCAGGCACGGTCCAGCTTCCCTGCCTGCCTCCCTGGGGAGAGAATCCAGCCTTTGGTGGCTGCTGGGGAGGGACAAAGCACTGCAGGGACATGCAGGGAGCCCAGAGCACTTGAGTGACTGCAGAAACGCCCTCCTGGCCAGGGGTTCAGCTCGAGGGGGAATTTAAAGCTTGGCACCAATGCCACAGACCAGGCTCTCTCCAGGCAGGAAAGCATCCCAAAAACACTCCTGGTGGCCCTGCCTGAGATGCTGGTGGGGCCACATTCAAACTGGGATGCACTGCAGAGCCCCTGGACACGATGATTCGGGAGCTGAAGCCCTGTGAGAACTGCACAGAGCTGGGGAATTCTTCCATGGGTGAGGAATTCTCTTCCAGGGAGGAATGCTCTGCCAAGAGAGCACAGCCTGCTGGCTCTGCTGTTGAAGGTAGAAGGGATGGGGCAGGGAGGCAAAAAACCCAGCCAGAACTCCAGTGTGAAGGTGAATCACCTCTCTGGGGTGACAGGAGCCTGTCCCTTTAGGATCCATGAGCAAGGAACGATTTAGATATTCCCATCAGGAAGCAGTATGGGGACTGAGGCTCAACTAATTAACAACATTTCCAGCAGGATCCTTCTCCAAGCTCCATCAGCATTCCTCTCCCTGTCTCCAAACAAGTCAAAACATTACTACAATTTATGAAAAAAAAAAAAAAAAAAAAGATAAAAGTACTGGAAATCGAGCCAAGAGGATCAACGTAAACCCTTGAGCTTATTTAGTTCTGTTTCAGTGTTTAGGAAAACTCAGCTTCCACAGGCTCAGATTTCTACCAGACCACCCCTCTGAGGCAGCACACGAGTCAGGAGGAGCTCAGTTTGAAAACAGCAGAGGTTCCACCCTTGGGGCTTCCAGGGGGTTGCAGCTTCTCCAGTTTAAGTCACTCCAAAGGATTTTCCGTGCGCTTTGGATCAGGGCAGTTCCCTGGGCTGGCCCCCAGGGCTCCGGGGGCAGCACCTCCCTCCTGGGCTGACAACAAAAAACTTTGTTACTCCACGCCGGGCTCCTTTTGTCTTCTCCTCCCCGGTGGGAGCAAGAAAGACAATTTGGGATAAATCCCTCTGGGAGCCTTTGATTCCACAGCACACAGGTTATGAGCTTTGCTGTTGTGTCATCAGCTGCAATTAAAAGGAGTTAATTGTGGAGCAGCTCCTGCCCTCGAGGTTGGTGCACAAAGGCTTCTCCATGTGCCTCCAGCAGGTCAGGGAGGGAATCAGGGAAGGACAAAGCAAAAATAAAGATTCATTTCCCAGCAGTGATCTGCAGCAATTACTGAGGTAGGTCTGCAGGCCAGCCGTGTTTCCTCGTGCTGAAGGAACCTCTGCACAAGATGCTCCTGAAGATCTCCAGCACCATCCTCCATTTCTCCTCCACTGGATCCCAGTGGATCCTTTCCACACAAAAAAAAGCCCAAACTGAGAATTCTCTGCCATGAACTTGCAGAGGTGGATCTGTAACCAAGATCCCTGAACTGTGGATCCTGTCTCCTCCCCAGCTTCCAGCTGCCTCATCCTCCTTTTTCCCCATCTGGGAGCAGCTCCTGCCTCAATTTCCCCCACTCATCTCTCAATTCTTGCTCAGCACAGAGAATCCTCCCCAGACCAGCCATGACATCACAAGGAACGTGGGGCATCCTTGATTCAACTCCTCTGCTCCTTCTGGCCTCGGGTGCTGGGGTTTGCAAACAGGCTCAGCTCTGGGCTCTACATTCCTGCTTGGGTGACAAATTCAGCTTTTTTATGATTTTTTTTTAATAGATCAGGAACAGGCAATCTCAGCTTTTGTATGTGACTCTAAAAAATAAATGGCTGAATATTATCTAGATAACTGCTTTTAAAACCCATCTCTTCCTACAGAAATTGTAAACGAGTAGAAAATTTAAATAGTCTTTTGTAAAAAAGCAAGGACAATCCAAGTTATAAAAAAATCACTCTTGCCTGCCTCTCCCTTCCCCCCACGCTGTGGATAACTGAGGAAGAGCTGGTGATGCTCAGAGGAGTTTCCTTCTCCAAAATGTTCATTCCTGCGGCGTTTCCAGTGTGACCAAACGCTGCCAGCTCACACGGGTGTCCCTCAGGCAGTGCTGGGGGTGTCCCCTGGAGGGAAGGATTCCTTCAGCCATCAAGAGCTCCCTCAAATCTCATCACAACAACTCCCAGCACGACCCCAACACCGAGATTTCGGGGCTGGCACCTCCCGACATGCAGAGCCCACGGAAGGAGGGACAGAGAAGGAAGGGGGAGATGGTTTTTCCACAGAGAATCAGAAATTCAGCAGTTGTGTCTGATGAACGACAGTTACCAAATAAATAATTACCTACAGAGAGGTTTCAGAGGACACAACCAGCTTTTTTTTTTTTTTTTTACTCAGCGATTCAAACCAGCTCTCAACCCCGGCTTCCAAAAGAGCCCAAATGCAGCACCTGAGCAGAGTGCCAGGGTAATACTGAGCGTGTCACCTCGCTGAGGAAGGCACCGGGAGCACCGGGAGCCTCTCGATGCCCGTCAGGCACTGGTGCCATCCTCCTCGATGACGCGGTTCATGCTGGTGCCGTGGCTGACGTGTGTCATTGCGTTGCTGCTGAGGTCCCTGACGCTGCTGTGCCGTGACTGCTCGTTGAGGCGGTGCGAGCTGCTGTGCCTCGAGTGGTCGGTCAGTCGCGACATGCTGCCGTGAGGTAGTCGTTCCTCCACGCCCCTGTAGCTGCAGGGAGTGTACCTAATGCAGGGTAAAAAAAAAAAAAAAAAAAACAAAAAAAAAAACCCCACGGGGAGATGATGGCAGCGCTGCTGAAAGAATGGAAATTATAGAGGTTTTGTGTGAGGAAAGGCACAGCCCCCGGGCGAAGCGTTTCAGCTCCTCGCACAATGGGTCTCGCTCGTTTCTTACTGCAGCTAATTGATAATTAAGGGAGTGAAACGCTCGATGATTAATTACTCTGGAAACCTTAGCTCCACCCCGGCTCAGAGCGGGGAACTTGTGCCCTTGTTTACTCGGGCACGGCCGGGAGTATTGGCAGACACAAAATCCACTGACACACGGACAAAAGCGGCCAGGAAAGCGCTGAGCTGATGTTGGGACAGGTTTGTTTTCCCACCCAGATCGCTCCCGTGCAGGAAAATCAGCCCTGCTGTGTAATTAATTCACCAAAACCAGTATCTAAAAATATCATGGCATTTCTTCTCTCTAACAGGCACAGGAGATGCACCAGAACATCCCATTTTAGCAGAATTATGGCTGCAAGGAGCCTGGCCAATCTTCTGCACAAGATTAAGCCAGAGGAAGTTGTGGACTTCCAACATCTGGAATTATTTGAGGACAGGTTGGACGGGGCTTAGAGCAAGCTGGGAGAGTGGAAGGTGGAAGGAGATGATCTTTAATGTCCATTCCTACCCAAAACACCCAGGATTTTTTGGAGCCACTTAGGAAGGTGGAAGGAGAAGATCTTTAAGATGATCCCAGCCAAAACGCCCAGGATTTTTTGGAGGCAGCTCAGGGAGGTTGAATTTGATCTTTAAGGCCCCTTCCCACCCAAAGCACTCCGGATGTTTTGGAGCCACTCAGGGAGGTGCAAGATGATCTTTAAGGCCCCTTCCCACTCAAACCACACTGGATGATTTGGAAGCAGCTCAGGGAGGTTGAATTTGATCTTTAAGGTCCTTTCCCACCCAAACCATGCAGGATTTTTTGGAGCCACTCAGTGAGATGGAAGGAGATGATCTTTAAGATGATCCCCCCCAAAGCAGCCAGGATGATTTGGAAGCAGCTCAGAGAGGCTGAATTTGATCTTTAAGGTCCCTTTCCACCCAAACCATGCTGGATGATTTGGAGGCAGCTCAGGGAGCTGGAATTTGATCTTGAAGGCCCCTCCCCACCCAAAAGAGCCAGGATGATTTGGAGGCTGCTCAGGGAGGTGGAAGGAGATGATCTTTAAGATGTTCCCACCCAAACCATTCAGGATTTTTTGGAGCCACTCAGGGAGGTTGAATTTGATCTTTAAGGCCCCTCCCCACCCCAAGCAGCCAGGATGATTTGGAGGCTGCTCAGGGAGGCTGAATTTGATCTTTAAGGCCCCTCCCCACCCCAAGCAGCCAGGATGTTTGGGATGCTCGTACCGTCCGTCCCGCGAGCGGTGCAGGCTGCCGTGGTAGCTGCTGACTTTGCTGTGCACGCTGCCAGCTTTGCTCCTCTGCTCATCCAGCATGGCCAGCTGCGTGGACGAGGCGTGGGTGGAGGTGCCCTGCGTGGAGGTGCCCCTGGATTTTCGGATGATGGGGGTGTTGGGGTCCCTCAGCAGGGACTGGGCGAAGTCGGGCTCTTGCAGCACTTGGCGGCTCTCGTTGACGACTCTGGAGCAATTAACGCTAATTAGCGCGGTATGAAGTGATCACAGCGCTGTGACTGTGCTTTACAATCAGAACAAGCAGCAAACAAGAGCGTGATTTACATGATAATGTCCCCGTTCGCCTGATTTTGAAGCACCTCCCTGTCCGGTTATTTTAGCCTGGGAGGATGGACCAAAAGTCACGGAGGAGTCACCAAAAGGCTTCTGTGTTTGTGTTTTAAAAGGTGACATTCAGATGCATTTTTATATTTAATTATTTATATTTACATTTCATGTCTGTCCACGGGGCCAAGTCTCCCCCAGCAGAACTTCTGGCCTGAAGGGAATTTAATTTTAAAACATCTTAAAGGACCTCCCCATGGCTACCACAAAATCACACAGCTTGTCTCTAAATGGATGCCGACCTGAATCTAAATTAATTTCAACCTTACAGAAGCTCAAGAAATTCTTATTGTCGCTGTCAAACTGCTCTTCAGCACCAATGCACAAGGAAGATGAAAAGCAGAAACAAATTCTTTCAGCTGCAACCACGGTGAGAAGAACCTGTGTTTAATTTCAATTTAAAGCTCTGGTTCAGTTGGCTAGGTGCACATTTATAAATAAAAAATTTCCATCCCACTGCTCAGTAAGAGGCAGAGTAATTGCAGCGTTTATTTAACATTTAATTCTCATTAAAAACATTCTGAAGACAGACAAGTGCAGATTTGATTCTGGGAACAAAGAATAATTAGGGGAGAAACAAGAAATTTTTGGAGCTGTTGCCTGCATTGTGAACACTGACTTTTCCATCCATTCCTGCCTTTGCCTCCATGAGAAACCAACCCCAACTCTCTGTGGGCACAGCAAGGGAAGGGTTTCTCTGGAAAAGATCTGTACCCACTCTTTTTTCCTGCGCCCATGGAAGAAGCTGGCCCACTCAAAGCAGGTCTTCTTGCTTCCCACCCAGAACACCGAGGGGATCCCAACCACCAAGGCCATCAGGTACTTCATGAGGAACAAAATCAGATCTGGTCGGCTCATCTGAGTCACCTGCAGAGAGAAAAAAAAGAGAAAAACCAGCTCGTGGAATCTTCTTTTTTTATTTTTTTTTAATTTCACACATTGCAATCTTCCCTCCCTGCCTGCAGCCAAAGCAAACACGGGCAGGGTTCCTTTGTTCCCTGGCTCCTCGGAGCATGACCGAGGCTGCAGGGCCCAGGGCTGCCTCACACAAAAAGCTCCACTGCTGTGAGGTCCTGGCCTTTATTTTTGTATTTCTGCCCTTTTGTCCGCCGTGCCCTGAATAATTGTGAAATGTTTTCTAGTCTGCAAATCGGGAAGAGTGGTTCCTTTGATGGCATTAACCGATATAGGACCAGGTGCTTGTGGCTGCTCTTGGGAAAAAAAGCTTCGTGGATGGTCAGCACTGAGCCTTTTATTCCCTGGAGGGTTTCCCTCCCTCTGCAATTCCAGGTGCCTGGTTCTTATCAACCCTGCCAAACTTTCTCTCTTCAGGGAGATCAGCTGAACTCTGAAAAAACCGCTCCCAGGATCCGTTTTTCCAAAGGTTTTTACACGCAAAGGGTTTGTTTGGAAAAGAAGACAAATATTTTCTTTCCAGGGAGCTCGGTAGGGTAAGCTGCAAAATAAACAGCCAGGGGTTTTCTGGAACTGATAACCTGGCTCAAAAACGGAACCTTCGAGGAGAAAAAAACTTGCAGAGCAAAGCTGCAAGAGGCCACCGAGCTGTGGAGGGAAGGAACGAACTCTGGTGCTGTGAAATCCTCTGTGAGCATCTGGGTGATTCTGTGGAATTCCAACAATTCCAGCAACTGGGAGAACTGGGATAAAGGTTGGGAGTGTTGGGAATGTTCACCTGGAGAGGAGAAGGATCCAGGGAGAGCTCAGAGCCCCTT